GTTCCACCAACTTGCACCTAGCTTTAATTTTCTTATGAAGCTGTCAGACAAAACCAAGCCTGTGATCGAAGTGAAATTTATCAAGCAACTGAGCTACAACATGGAGAGTAAGTGCAGGTACTGACCAGTTCACTTTAGACCTGCATTATGAGTATCATTACAACCATGATGAGGCATTCAAGACCAAGGCATTAATTTGCTATCGTAGATGCTGACATTCTGCCTTTTCAAAGCACAGTGTTTGCAATGAAAGTCTAGGAAGAAATGGAGAGGTCTGACTTCATGTAATTAAAGTTGGAAAGTAGAAATAAACAATTTCCCCTTCTTTTCTCCTCCCCCCACTCTCTCCCCAAATAGCTGGGCTGAAAGTTCTCCCTAGCAGCTCATGGTGTAAAACTGATGGAAATGTGTTCAAAATCTCTGCTTTGTTGTGGGCATGATGCATTGATGAGCATTGATTCTCTGCTGTCAGTGCCCCACTCCCTTAGAAACTGGGCTGCTATAATTAACATTTACAGGACTAGCGTGGCAAATCTCTCTGTTTTGGTTTTATTCAGAATTCCCTCACAGGGGTTGCACACTTATCTGGTGTGATGATCCATAGCCTTAGATGTATGCAGGCACCGTGGCTGTTGGTTAGTCACAAGTATACTGCCTGAGGAACAGAGGTCCTGAGGCACAAGCACATAGCTTCCCCAAGCACTAGCGCCTTAGCGTTTGCACTAGCATACAAAGCAGAGTCTGCCAGTGGCCCTCTCTGCTCAGCTGGGAGAGGTGGAGGGCAACAAGGGGTGGATCTGAAAGGTGCTGGGGCAGCTCAAACACAGGCCTCCCCAAAACTAATCCAGCTTCCCTCAATGTGAGATCAGCCCATTCAGCTGCCCTTCCCTTCCTGCCTTTTTCCTTCACTCCAGAAATACCTTCTCTGTCAGTAGCAGCAGCCTGCCTAGCAAGTCTTTGCATTTACCCTTCAGCTCAGTGGAGACAGTGTTGAGCATGATTCAGACAGGAGATGAGGAGGGTTCAGTGGCACTGGCAAATCTTTGCAGAGAAAGACTCCCTATCACACCGATTATTTGCAATCACAAAGGACTGAGCTCAAGTCAGGTCAAGAGAAGGACAAAAATGGAAAGGGGTTTCTGTTAAGTAGATGAACTTGGCAGGTTCATCTTGGCAGGGCAAGTAGATGTCCCTTGGCAGGACAATA